GAACCATCGCAAATAAGCATTTTCATCAAAATTGTATCAGCGAAAAACAAGAAGGAAAACGAATTCCGTATAAATTATTTAATTCCAAAATTTGATAGTGTACCGCTTGTACTTTGTAAACCGGAAAAGATGTGCAGTTTCTTTAAAAAGAGTAATCACATGGCTTAAATTACTAGGATACTTGGTGTTTCTTGTCGGCCGGATGACCGATGCATGATTGTAGAATTTGTCAGGGTGGCGGCCACAGAATGAAAACTCAGCAGTTCATTACATTTTTTTTTTTTTATTATTGGCGACGTTCGGACTCAACTCTAGTCCTTCATCAGACAAAACATCCTACTTAAAATATTTTAATTTAGGGCGTAATGGGCAAGAAAGCTCGGATGTAGTAATAATTTTAAAAAAAGTTTTATTAACATCGGCGATCCCACGTCAATATCTTCTCTTGTGAGTGTTTTCTTTCTTATAGTCCTTACCACTAATATAATTTTATTAATTGTAGTAAATTTCGAATAAAATATCCTAGTAATGTACGATTGGAGAATTTTTCAGGGTGGCGGCCGGAGAATGGACAACTCGGCAGTTCATTACTTTTTTTATTATTGGTGACGTTTTGGACTTTTCTAGTGCTTCATCAGAAAACATCCTAGATGGAACAACATACAAGTAACAATTTTGACACATTATTCGATAAAATCTAGTAGAGCTGCTTACTAACATATGGAGACTGCGAAAATGAAGAGATGCTTGCACACATTACCAATCAAAATTCAGACATCAAAGAAAAAAATTTAAAAAGGGGTTACATGATATGGTTTGAATTCAAATTATTAAACCGGACATGGAAAAAAACAACAGGCACTCCACTACATTTACAGACTCAGCTGTGTGGTCTCAAGATTAGTGACATGCGACCCCAGAAAATATTCGATACCATTTCTCGATACTGGTATTGAAATAAATATTCGATAATACTCAAGTATCGACAGAAATTATTCGGTACTAACGAGTACTTACTCATATGAGTACTTTGTCGTTTATTCATAAATGATCAATGACTATCGGCCTGTGGGCTAATACTTTTAAGTATTTTTTCAGACAGTGGGTACGTAGGAAAGAAAAAAGAAAAACACATTTCAACAAAATTGATATTTTTATATATAATTATAATTTTACCGTTCAAATGTTTGAAAAGATAAGACGTATTCAGTTTACAAAATGTCGACGATTCAGTTGTTTTAGTAACATAATCGCACTCGCCTCATAGGTAGATACCTAGGAGAAGGAAGGCGAACACTTTTTAGGAACTTGAAGACAAAAACATTTTATAAAAAATTACTGAAATTAAAAGTGCGAGGGGCGACGCGGGAAAGAATTATGAGTTACCAGAATTATCAGCAGAGTTACCAACCACCAATTCGAAATTTCGATTAACTGTGTTGACACATGCCGCTTGTAGCACTAAAACAAACTAGTCTCGACTAAACTAGTCAACTCCCAGTTTGATAAAATCTACGTTTCGAACTGAAAATAACAATTCAATATCACACGAACAGTACTTATATCGAATGAAAAATACTCAATACGTTACTCATATCGATTGGTATCGCATGTCATTACTCAAGATTGAGGTGGTCTACATCTCAAGCTGATTTGATATTTTGTGTTTTTTGTTCCATCTAAAATGTTTTGGCCTAAAATAAGTCCGAAACATCGCCAATAATAAAAAAGTCATGAACTGCTGAGTTGTTCATTCTCTGGCCGCCACCATGTCAAATTCTGCAAACATGTAATTACTGGGATATTTTATTCGAAATTTCCTACAATTAGCATAATATATAGTAGAAAACAATCAGAGATGAGGCCTATAAGAAAAAAACAATCACAAGAGGAGGCTACTGATGTGGGATCACCGCATTCAATATTTTAAAATTATTAGCGACGTCCGAGCGTTCTTGGCAATAGTCTCTAGAAAAACAAAATATTTTAAGTAATTTAGTTACTTTCTTTTATGTACTTTTCTTCCTTTCTGTTCATATTTTTCAACGTTTTTGTTAACGTAGAATATAAAAATAAGGTGCAAGCTTTATTAAATATGTATATAAAAAATTTCAAAAACCAAATGTTGCTTCCAATAAAATAACCCAAAACATTTTTTTTTTTTCAAAAACATTTTCGGATTCGTTTTAAACACCCTTTAAAGCCTTCAACGCCCTTTAAAACCTTAAACACGAATTTTCTAGATTTTAATTTCTTTTTATATCCAGAGTTGTGTGGCCAATTGTTGAACTGGTAAAATGCAGATAAAACGTCACGATCAGCTTTGATATTTGTTTATTATTAAATGCCTCTGCATTTGGACCTGTGCTACACTTACCTCTTCTGGCTGGTTAGAATAAGAATCATACTTAGCCAATATCTGGATTTTTATATACAGGGTGAATTGCTACTCGTGCTACAAACTTCTCCAGTAGATTCTTCACCCTAAAATGAACAAAAAAGTTCATATTGTCCATGGTCCGATTCTCAACCATTTCAGAGTAATTTCGCTTTTTATCGATTTTGAAAGATATCACGTCCTGGCGTCGGAAAATCGTGATATCTTTTAATCTAAACATTTCTCTGAAAATCTAATAGCACCGTTGAAATTCCCGTTAATTTTTCAATAAGAAGATGAAGGTGGCAAAACGTTTGGGTCTTTCTTCCTTGACCTTCTAGCTGTTTGTAAACTTCTTAAGCATTACATACTAAATGGGCATTAAATTAAATTAAAAAATTTCAATGGAATTATGATTTTGATTCTCTCTAAAAATTAACGGGGATTTCAACGGTGCTATTAGATTTTCAGAGAAATGTTTAGATTAAAAGATATCACGATTTTCCGACGCCAGGACGTGATATCTTTCAAAATCGATAAAAAGCGAAATTACTCTGAAATGGTTGAGAATCGGACCATGGACAATATGAACTTTTTTGTTCATTTTAGGGTGAAGAATCTACTGGAGAAGTTTGTAGCACGAGTAGCAATTCACCCTGTATTTCTTTATATAAATTTTTCTGTGTCCGTGTGGGTTGATATACAAGTTTGGCATGAACGGATGAAGTCATTAGGGACAATGTATAAACTTACACTTTACAATTATACAAATTATGATTTCCAAAAGTATTGTATTATCTATTTTTCGTAATGAATTATTATTCAGAAATCGTGAGATGAGGTCTGGTGTGATGTAGGTTTCAGAAAAACATTTTCTTTGTCGTGCCCACGTTTCGATCTTTATTGAGATCATCTTCAGGCCTGAGATTTACAAACTTTGTTTGTATTTAACAAATACATGTAGGATGTGGAAAAAAAGTGAATTTATACAATGCAAAATATATTTTTTATATGCAATCAAAGTATTTCTACTCACTCAAAGTGTTTGTCTTCTGTGCAATCGTGCCATTCTTGCGTGTCGTGTTGAGAGTGCCAGTTTTTCCACATCCTACATGTATTTGTAAAATTTAAACAATGTTTGTAAATCCCAGGCCCTGAAGATGATCTCAATAAAGATCGAAACGTTGGCGCGATAAAGCAAATGTTTTTCTGAAATCAACATCGCACCAGACCGCATCTCACGATTTCTGAATAATTATCGACTAACGGTCACTAATCACCACACACGTAGTGAATTATATTGGTTTTCCTATATTTAAAACTATTCAATTTTCAGTAGAAAACAAATAGATATTATATATTATGAAGTTGTGTAACAATATTTTATTATTCACTTATAATTCAATATAATTTTATTATTCACAAGGAAACAATAAAACACAACTGAGACCATTGAAACTGAATGGTCCAGCATGTAGAGAAAGGTTGCACGACGCATTCTACTTGAATGGTTTGATTTTATGGGTCGATATAAAGAGCGTGTAAGAACGAAAAGAACNGAGAATCGGACCATGGACAATATGAACTTTTTTGTTCATTTTAGGGTGAAGAATCTACTGGAGAAGTTTGTAGCACGAGTAGCAATTCACCCTGTATACATATACATACGTAGATATATATAAACACCCAAATCCAGGTCTAGCTTAACCAAAAGATAATATTTTCAGTATTTAAACACATAATTTTTAAACTATGTTAACGTAGTAGTAGCTTAAAAGGCACAAAGTTGAAATTTGTTTTTTTGAACTCCTAAAAACTCCTGAATTCAAATTATTGTGATTTTTTCAAATCGCTTTTTTTAAACGATAACAAATTTGAAACGACGCGAGAATCACGATGAGTGAGTGAGAGAGAGAGAGAGTGTGTGAGAGGGAGGGAGAGAGAGAAAGTGAGAGAGAGAGAGAGAGAAAGAGAGAGAGAGAAAGAGAGAGAGAGAAATAGAAAGAGAGAGAGAGAGAGAGAGAGAGAGAGAGAAAGTAAAAAAACAATTGATTTAAGAAAAAACCTGAATTGGTTTGAAAAAATTCTTTTCAGTAATTATTTAACTATAACTTTTTTAGAGAGGGTTCGCAATAGCGGAAGTTCTATTAATCCTCGGGGTGTCGGTGATTTTGAAAATAAGCCGCATGTAATCTGTAGGTATGTCGGGTTCGAGTGCAGAGCTGCGGGATTCGAACTCGGTACCATCACCTTACTGTGATGGAGCCATGTCTACGACTAAACCGTCCCACCCACCGATAAATAATTATCAATCGGTTAGTCAACAGATATATTGATATGCTTAAATTAAGCCAAAAACAGAACAGCGTGCTTTTACAACAAAACTGCCAGAATGATCTGTTATTTCTTATTTAAGATGATTCCATTGAAAACAATTATTTTTAACAAATTTTAAAATTGAATTTTTATCGCAACAATCCAGCCATTCAGAGGATATTAAAAAACAACGCAATCGTTATTGTATCTGAAAGTAATGGCTCCCGCGATTCGATCAATAGTCGGTTTTATAATGCAATACGGGTTCAATTTAAAGTGTAATTTAACGTAATAATAAAACACTTACCTCCATGCCACTTTTAAAATGTTTTGTGGAAAGTCAGTTCTTGTTCATCCTTCATGGCGCATGCCTGAAAAATAACAAAAATACTCTTCAATAAAAAATAATAATTTGAAGAAAAAATTATATTTTAGTTGTAAAATGTTTATTATTAATTAAAATGTTCATGTAATTCAGTAATTCATAAAGATGAGTTCAAATTACAGCAGGAAAAATGACATAAAAAAGAACAATGAGTCCCCGTCATCATGACTGAAATACACGTTTTTAATATATGTAGTTAACGTAAAGGCTAAAAGCGTGTTTAACTGCTGGGGTGTTTGTGAAATTGTGTTGAACATTTTACGAGTTGTTGGACAGTTGTCACCAGTTTGAACGTCCCTGATCAACCTAGCTTCGTGATACTACACACGGGCTTGTGACATGAAGTAGCACGTGGGGATATTACGATTATTATTTTATATTATTTTAAAAATAATAATAATAAAAGAATATATGAAATAACATCGACCTTATTACTTTTATTTGCTTATAAAATGGATCTTTGTTTAATTTGTTAAAAACAGTAATAATGTTTACAATCCTGTTCATTTATTTTTTATGTACGTTCGATCACACTTACTTTTTCTAGCTTCACTAACTAAACTGTAATTTATTCATGTTTTCAATCCTATTCATTTTATTTGAACGATTCGCATGCCCACTGACGTCATTTCACATAGATTTATTTCCTTAAACCTAAACAAAGCTTTAGCACTTATTTCGCGGGTTACGCCCTGTTGATATTTAAATGCCGGTTGCCATATCGTAAAGTGTACACATACGGAATAAAACGCATCCGCAGGGTAAAAAAAATGTATATTCCACCTCTCTAATATTCACGGGGCACTTCCTTTTTGCATTGTTCAAACGTTAAAACGTTCGGACGTCATTCCATTTTTCATTAGCCCCAAACCGCTAAAGCAATTAAGGAAACACATGGTATTGAAAATAAACAACATTTTATGCTTCAGGGATGGAATAACCTAACATTTGGGCTACGAATATAATAATAGCTGCATGTTTAAAAAAAGGGAAATAAATTATCTTAAAAATGCATAAAACACTAAACAAAATCATTTAATTTGCTGTAAGTAATTAATTGAAATGTTTAAGAAAAACATTTTCTCTATCGTGCCGACGTTTCGACCTTATTGAAATCATCTTCTGGGCCTGGGATTTATAACCATTGTTTAAATTATACAAATACATATAGGATGTGAAAAAAGTGAATTTTAACAATACTATAAATGTTTTCTTATATTTCGACCTCAACAGTTAATCTTATGATTCTTCCTTCTTGAAGGTGGGATAATAGGTCATCACAAAACACCACAACCAGAGTCGGGTTCAAAATATTAAAACTTTTGTTTCTAGTCTGAAGTACCACACTGGCTCTTTTTTTAAATAAATTGTTATAAAATATTAATGACTGACGACCACTTTTTTAACCATTGCGTTAACTCACCTGAGGAAGGATTAAAATAAATCCGAAACGTAGTGGATAAAAACTGGTTGTTGTTTTTTGAGATAACCTATTATCCCACCTTCAAGAAGAAAGAATCATAAGAATACTATAAATGTTAGACTCCATCAATGTATTAGTACTCATTTAAAGTGTTTGTTTTCTGCGTAATTGTGACATTCTTGTGTGTTGTGTTGAGAGTTCCAGTGAGATTTTGCTGTTTTATGTTTATATACGTTGGATTTTGAAGGGGAGGGGAATGAAGTCGGGATAGAAAGACATTTTTTATATGGGGAGTCGGCTTCTTTGAGGTGAAAGGAGCCGACAACGGGAAAAAAACGTGGGTAATGGTTCGGCCTGATTATCTTTTCAGGATTATATAGACGGGGATAATTAGGGAAAGGAAAATTGTTGAAGAATTAGACTACGAAGAGATGTTTGATGTGTGGAATGTGATGATTGTTTTTTATGTTATATTATATGTTTTGTATGATGTGATGATGATATATGTATATTATCGATATTGAATTTGATTAATGATATTGGCGTAGCTGTGACTGAGTTTACATGTGTCTGTTCTGTAATTAATGCTGTGTTTATCCCTATCGATGAAAACTATTTCTAAATAGTTACGTTTATGTTTGTTTTGTTCTGTGTGTAATATTTTTAGATTATTGAAGTGGAAATTGTTGTTGTGTTGAAAATGATGGGTAGCTAGTGCTGTAGGATTTTGCTTGGGTTTTTTTGCAATCATAGATATGTTTTACTCCGTTATACAGATATTGGGATGTAATAGCGATGTAAGTTGCCGGAAATTTAAACAATTGATTTTGTAAATTACGTCAGATTTTTTGTTACTGGTGTGGGATTTTTAATTTTGGAAAAAAGTGTGCGAATTATTTTATAGTTTTTGAAAGTTATTTTAAAGTTATCGGAAAAGATAAATGTGTTTAATTTATGTGATAGGCCATGAATGAATGGCATGTAAATATACGTTGGTCTGTCTGTATTTGATAGATTTGATATAGTATTATTAGTAATTAAATTCACTAATTTCGTGGTCCGCTTGGCCAATTAATATATTCCAATTAATTAAGGTTTTTAGTTGAGATAAAAAAGCCAATGTCACGAGGGGGATTCGAACCCACGATCTTCGGCTTGATACGCCGCTGCTGAGCTATCGTGACTTCGATCCACTCGGACACCAACTTCCCATCTCAACCGCACCTTTTGAATTTTCCATCCTTTTTGCCATTTTGCCATTGACTTTTTTATTTCAACTAAAAACCCTAATTAATTGTAATATATTATTTGGTCAAGCGGACCACGAAATTAGTGACTTTAATGATTTAAAATTAAGTATACTTCACTAAAGCTCTCCGTGGCCATTTCATTTGTCGTCGAGAATCCGATCCGATTACACGACATTTGAAAAATGACAAAAAGGTGGGAAAATTCAAAAGGTGTGCGGTTGAGATGGGAAGTTGGTGTCCGAGTGGTTCGAGGTCACGATAGCTCAAGTGTTAGAGCAGCGGCGTATCAAGCCGAAGATCGTGGGTTCGAATCCCGCTCGTGCCATTGACTTTTTTATCTCAACTAAAAACCTTAATTAATTTTAATTATTAGTATTACTGGATGGGCTCAACACTAACACCATCCACTATTACTGTAGGTATGTAAAATATAGTTGCGTGAAATTATAAATATTACAAACTATAGATTACATTAATGTTTTCTACATTACCAAAAGAAATATAGTACGTTTTTTTAATGTTAATCAACAAGAGGGGAACGTAGAACAATCACAAACTACAGGACGTAGGATTTTAATGAAACTATTTCGGTGATACAAGATCGACATACTTTAGCTCGTCTCTGTGCGTCCCTGATAGGTGCCAATAAAAATGTTTTAAGCAATTGAAATATTTTTAAATATATTAAACATTCTCTTAGCTGTACATGTACGTAAACGACTCGTACTTTAACATAGGCTAGCCAAGTAGCAAGTAGAGCGTATCAAACGAGACCAAATATCGTGATAAACTAGAAGTTGATCGCCTATATTTAAAAATGAAAGAAAAAAAGGATTCCCCATGGATTTCAGTAACTTTTGTCTACAAACCATTTCTAACTTGATTCGATGATGGTCCGTAATTATGTGCTGAACAACCATCGTGTAGAAAATAAACATTTCTAATATTTCAAACGACATAGAATATTCTTGGGACAATATCATTTTACATTATAAGAGATATAGTCTATCGATTTCAGTCAATGTTTACTAACAATCTGTTTTATTAACAAGTTACAACATGCCATACAGACCGTTGTTTCGTGCTGTTTTGGTGAGACGAGTTTCAGAATTTAACCATATTCAATAGCGAGTGTTTGTGTTATTTTAGTTAGCCAAGTGTAATAAAATTGGCTTGATATTCTCTTTAATGGGATTTGTGAAATAATAAGTGTTGTTATACAAGTATCTATGTTATTGCAAAGTTCGTTTCCCTCGTCTTAAAACCATTATTACACGAAAGTAGCCTATAGCCAGGCAGTTCAAACGTTACCCGGCCCTAAAGGGGAAAAAGGGCTCAGAAAGAGGTTGCGGATGAGATATTTATTCAGCTTGAAAGAGGAAAGCACATTGTCTCTTGGGAGAAGGGCATTGCAGTTAAAAAAAAATAAACTGTTTCTGGATCTCCGCTTTCCCACCACAAATTAAGAATTGAGTTCTGGCAGAAAAAGCAGATCTTCCTGTCAAGTAAGTAAATTGATAATTTAATTAAAAGGCCTGTCTGAACAACTCTCTTCAGCAAACTCCCATATTTTATATATTTTGTAAGGTCACAAACAAATAAATATTATTATCGTTCCACTAATTTTTAATAATCCCCATCTACCTCTCATAATTCAATTTTTTATTTTCTTCACACCAGTTCATTTTATTTGTGAAAGGTTTAAGGGTCGAGTATCCTGATTTATTTAAATAAGTTAATGTCGAACTGATGTTTTTATAAATTATTAAATCGTACAAGTTTATACAGTTGTTATATTTGATTGTTTGGCAGCAGTGAATGACATTTTTTTATGTAAGGAGATCATGTTAGTATGTTGTCTATTTTATTGTCAATGTGTAAAGCAGTATTTTATCATAATTACGTCAGTTTGTTTTTGTTAAAAGTTTGGTAAAAATATTTCTGCCAGTATGTCTGATGTATGATTGTACTCTTGTATCTTGTCCGTCTTTTGGTATTTTGTAAATTGCAATTAAAGTTATTTTATTGTCGTTTATACCGAAATGTTAACACAAATTCATCACCTCGCAGAAGTAAAAAAATGAGAGTTGACAACCAACGTAAAATCTAAAAAAATATTCGTACTTATTAAATTTTATTTTTTAAATATCAGGATGCTGTGCTCCGCTGTTGTACACAACTTTTACATCTAATTTGCCTACGAATGAGAATACACTTAACGCCACATACGCAGATGACGCGATATTAACAAGACATCCTTCTTCTATAAGTAAAGCTTACGTTACAAAACCACATATCAAATGGGGCAATCTT